GAGAGCAGCAGCAGATAAAGGTAACAGCATCAAGATAAAAGACTTTGAGACCGGGCAAATGGACATAAGAACCAAAACACATCCCTACAAATCCAAGACTTAAGGACTCTATTCTCGTAAAAAGGGAAACTACATATTTCAAATGAAGAATACATACTCCCCAGCAGTGGAAGTTATAACAAACCATCTTGCCCATCTTCACCTGGATCCTGGGTAGAGCAACAATCAACTCTACCAAATATCTGTGACCACAGATCTTCTTCCACATGAGGGTAAGATGTGGATGAAAATCAATTCTCCTTACAAACAGTCATCGCCCTCTCCATGCTGAGGGTGTCCCAAATCTGAACCTCAATTCATGCAGTCATGCCTTCTTTAAATCACCTACACATACCTGGATTTTCCCATTATTCTTTAAAGATTTCAGTAGCTGGCTCGCTTTCACTGTCTCCAACACTGTCAACCCTGGCCAATGATAATCCTTGATGATGTAAAAGGGAATGTACATGATATATCTAATTTAATGCCAATCCATCAATATAAGTCATTGGGTTTTGGTCTTTCAATGTCTTATCCTTCCTCCCTACCACAGTCACATACTCATGTGTTCTTAACATATACCATCCTATTGGTAAATGAAAAATGAGTGAATATTCCAGAATGAAGACAAAGAATTTTAAATGTAGCTTAGCTTATTGATTCTCTAACTCTGTATTATTGAGATTAATCAGTAAATGCAATGCACGTCTGAATAAATTCCCAGTAAGGTTTTTCACAAAATTTGCCACTTCTGGGCTAAGAATAGTCATAAGAGAATCTTGGCAATTTTGACAAACAATAAGCCAGAAGACTATGTCTAACAAAATATCAAAGTATAATAAGCTATAATAATTAAGGTACAATACATGGTCATAGAAATATAAAAGTACTACAAAGAGTTTGTGGAAAGTTTAATTAACAGGTAAGTTTATTTTGGTACAAAAATTTTGAGATTAATACATGAAAAGGAGCTTTACAATGTTTATGGAAAATGCATATTATAAAAAAACTACACATGGCTTTCAAAATATTTGGCATCAAAATGAACTTACCTTTTTTTTAAAAAAAAGATTTATTTATTTATCTGAAAGGCAGAGTTACAGAAGGCAGAGGCAGAGAAAGAGAGAGAGAGAGAGGTCTTCCATCCACTGGTTCATTCCCAAATGGCCACAGTGGATGGAGCTGTGCCAATTTCAAGCCAGGAGTTTCTTCTGGGTCTCCCACATGGGTGCAGGGGGCCCAAAGACTTGGGCCATCTTCTACTGCATTTCCAGGCCATAGCAGAGAGCTGGATTGGAAGAGAAGCAGCCAGGTCTTGAACCAGCGCCCATATGGGACACCAACACTGCAGGCTGTGGATTTTACCCATGTACACCATAGTGCCAGACCCTAAACTTACTTTTTAATTTTTTTTTCCACATTTTGAAGCCCCCTTGTAGAATAATGGAGAATAGAGAACTTTGGGCTAGACCATACAAATGAGCAAGCTTGATTCATGAAGAGTTGTAGTACAAATTAGTGGAGAAAGGAAATACAACCCAACAAGATGTGCTGAGAATATTTGATTATCCACATAGAAAACAAATGGATGTTTATCATATAATGAATAATTAAAATATAATATCAAATTCTGTGAAATACAAAAGTTTTACATAAAATATTATTTAAAAATAGTTGTATATTCTGGCCTGAGAAGGAGATTGTCTATTGACTTTTCCTTTGAAATCCTATATTTATTGCCAGCAGATTAGTCATCTTCTACCTCTACTGTTCTATCAATAAAGCTTTCTAGGCTTTTGGTTCCAGACTCCTTTGCCTCATGCCTTCATTAATTTCATACAAAACAAAGACCTTATTTATATATTTTCTCATGTTCTATTTTGCATTTACAAAATACTCATACTCTCATTATATCCACACACCTATTACACAGATTGAATGATATAATCTGTTCTAGTCTCCTTACTACTTAAGCAGAAGAAAATTGGAGAAAGAATACATCAAGTGAATTTGGAGGGAGGGAGGGAGGGAGGGAGGGAGGGAGGGAGGGAGGGAGGGAGGGAGAGAGGAAAGGAAGGAAGGAAGGAAGGAAGGAAGGAAGGAAGGAAGGAAGGAAGGAAAAAGGAAGGGAGGGAAGGGAAGGGAAGGGAAGAAGGAAGAATCTATTCTATGGGCCCAGTGTTGTGGAGTAGCGGGTGCTATGCTGGCATCCCACATGGCACTGCTTCGAGTCCCAGCTGCTCCACTTTCAGTCCAGCTCTCTGCTATGGCCTGGGAAAGCAATAGAAGATGTCCCTAGCCCATGGGACCCTGTACCCACATGGGAGACCCAGAAGAAATTTCTGGCTCCTATCTTTGGATCAGCCCAGCTCCAGCCATTGCAGCCAACTAAAGAAAGAACCAGTGGATGGAGGACTTGTCTCTCTCTCTCTGCCTCTTCTTCTCTCTCTGTGTAACTCTGCCTTTCAAATAAATAAATAAATATATATTTAAAAAAAGAAAGTACTCAAAAGCACTGTTTTGTAGTTGATAAGCTTTTTTTCCTAGTTGTCAGGGAATTGGTTCAGTAGTTATACACAGAAACACAGAAACTTGGTCATCATGATGAAAGAAGGTGAAGGCAGAAAAATGTCCCAGTAAAAGTACAAAGAAATTCCAAAATAAACAATAGAAATATTTATGAAAAAATTGCAGGGCAAAGTCATTACTTATCAATAGTCACCTTGAATGTAAATGTAACTCTCCAGTTAAAAGATACAGACTGGATGAATGGATTAAAAAGCAAAACCCATCTATTTGCTGCCTACAAGAAACACATCTTACCAAAAAAGATACATGCAGACTGAAAGTGAAAGACTGGAAAAAGACATTCCATGCTAACAGAAACCAAAAAACAGCTGGTGTAGGCACCTTAATATCAGACAAGATAGACTTTAACACAAAAACTGTTAAAAGAGACAAAGAAGGGCACTATGTAATGAAGAACTAATTCCAATTCTTCTCAATCTATTCAAAATAATGGAAAGGGAGAGAATCCTCCCAAATGCCTTCTATGAAGCCTGCGTCACCTTAATTCTTAAACCTTAAAAAGATACAACAAAGAAAGAGAACTACAGACAAATTTCCCTGCTGAACACAGACACAAAAGGCCCCAAAATTACTAGCCAATCAAATACAACACCTATCAGAAAGATCATTCACCCGGACTAAGTGGGATTATTCCTGGTATGCAGCAATGGTTCCACATTCACGAATCAATCAATGTGATACATCAAACTAACAACTGAAGAACAAAAACCATGTGGTTATCTCAACAGATACAGAGAAAGTATTTGGTAAATTCAACATTCTTTCATGATGAAAACCTTAAGCAGGTTGTGTATAGAAGGAACATTTCTCAGCACATTCAAGGAAAATTAAGACAAACCCATTGCCTGCATCTCAGTGAATGGGAAAAAGTTGGAAGCAGTCCCACTAATATCCAGAACTAGACAAGAATACCCACTCTCATCATTAGGTGAGAAGCCATTAGGAAAAAATATTTTTATTTTTTAGCCAGAGCCATTAGGAAAGAAGAAGAAATTAAAGTAAAACAAATTGTGAGGGAGGAAGTCAAACTATCTCTATTTGCAGATGACTTGATTCTATATATAGGGGATCCAAAAGGTTCCATGAAGAGACTACTGGAACTCATAAAATAGTTTGGTAAAATGATAGGATATAAAATTCATACACAAGCATTTGTGTACACAGATAATACCGTGACTGAGAAAGAACTTCCAAGATCAATACCATTCATAGGAGCTAAAAAAATTAAATACCTTGGAATAAAATTAAGCAAGAACATCAAAGATCTCTACAATGAAAATTACAAAATACTGAAGAAATAAATAGAAGGAAACACAAAAAATGGAAAAATCTTCCATGTTCATGGATTAGAAGAATCAATATCATTGAAATATCCATATACCTAAAGCAATTTACAGATTCAATGTGATCCCAATCAAAATTCCAAGGGCATTCTCAGATCTAGAAAAAATGATACTGAAATTCATGTAGAAACACAAGAAACTTCTTGGAATTCACCCCAAGGGAATGAAATCAGCAGATGAAAGTGTTATCTGATCCCTCTTGTTCATTGCAGCTCAATTCACAATAGCTGAGATATGGAATCAACCCAGATGTGTGTCAACCGAAGACTGAATAAAGAAATCATGGTATATGTACACCACAAAATACTACACAGTAGTAAAAAAAATGAAATCCTCTTGTTTGCAACAAAATGGAGGTAACAGGAAAGCAAAATACTTAGTAAAATAAGCCAGTCCCAAAAAGACAAATACCATGTGTTCTCCCTGATCTGTGGTAACTTACAGGGCACCTAAAAGGTAATCTATAAAAGTAAAATTGATACTTTGAGATGTGATGACTTTGACAAGCATTTGTCTCAACTGTTGAGGAACAGTTTTTTTTTTTTTTCATGCTATGTGTTGAACTCTTAGTGCAGGATTAATCTTATGTGTACAAAGTTAATTGAAAATAGACCTTAGTAAAAAGCAAGAATGGGAATATGAGAGGGAGAAGGAGGGAAGTTGGGAGCACATGTGGGAGGGAGAGTATGGTGAGAAGAATCACTCCTAAATTGGTATATATGAAATGCATTAAGTTTGTATACCTTAAATAAAAGCTTTCAACAAAAGTTTCCAAAAAAAAAAAAACAAAAAAATGAACCTGACCATCTTGTAATGCCAGAAAGTAAGGAAGTGATAAAAACAAAACCAACCACAATGCCAGCAGAATGTCAGATACATTAATAACAACTGAAAAATTTCTCAGTAACTAAAGTTAGAAATCTAAGTAACAATAAAGTAGCATTGTATTTTAACCCAAATGATAAAATGTGTATATGAGTTCATACTTGCATAAATGTTTTAATAAATTATATACAATCTCCCATGCAAGAAAAATTCCAAGTGACTGATGTACATTCTCCACCTTCAATGAAGGAAGGGTAACTTTCCATCCTCCACTGTGGCTGTACATAGTGATTTCTTTCCAAGTAATAGAAGTAAGAAAAGGAGGTCAGAAGAGCACATCTATCCCAGAGAAAGTTGAAAAACACTAGTACAGTTGGGTGATCAAGCTCACACCCACTGACACCTCCTGTTGCCTGTGTGTGCCCTTGATGTGATATAATGAGAATGGCTCTGTCCCTCTGTAGCCTTTCTCCCTGAACACATAACTCCAGTGTAATCATGAAAAAACATCACAAGACACTTTGAATGAGGGTCATTCAACAAGCTACCTGACCAGTACTAAATTGTATCAAAGTTATTAAAACAAAAGAAAATCTGATAAACTGTTTCAGATAATAGGTCCTTTGGGAGCTGTGAAAACAGAATTTAATGTGATCTCCCAGGTAGGATCTTGGAAAAGAAAAAAGATAGAAGGTAAAAACTCGGGAATGAACTCTGGACTTTAATCAGTTGGAATGTCAATATTGGCTCATCAGTTGTGGCAAATACACCATATTAACATAAGATGTTAATAGTAGGGGAACCAGGCGAGGACTATGGGAACTCAGAACTGTTTTCATTTTCCCTCCATAAATCTGAAACTATTCTGAAATACTAAGTTTACCTAAAATAAACAAAAGAAACCCAAGATCACTGTTGACTGTCCTGGGCTCTTTGACAAATGACCTGGAGAGAGGGCTCCAGAACTTGTGCAGCTGAAACATCTGCCTCCATGAGAATCTCCCAGTCAATGTGACCCAGTGGTCACTGCAATTGCTCGTCGCCACAGCATCTTATTTCATTCTCTTCTCAGAACTTAGCCTTCCCTAAAAGTCTTGCTGATTTACATTCCAGCATAACCTCTTCTCTGAAAGTAGAAATAAGCTCCATGATACACGGTACCTTGTGCAGTTAAACTTCAATTCTGGTCTTTGAAGGAGGCCTGGCATCGAGTAGTTACATATTCCTACAGTAAATCAACTTCAAGATCAGTTGGAATCATAGAATTACATGTCCTTCCCAGACAAAACCCAAACAATGACGGCTTCACCTAACAAGTGCTATCCTGCAAGCACCTACATACCTTGGAGCATTGACTCCCAGGTGCGTGTTTCTCTTCACACAGAACTTCAAACCTAGACAGGTCCTGAAAGATTAATCAGTTTAGGGTCCAAGTTTTGTAAATGAGATACATAAAATAAGATCTTAGGAACTTGTAGTTAATTTGTTTAAAAGAGAGCTCCCATTTGCTGGTGCATTCCCCAAATGCCTACAGTGACCTAGACTGGGGATGGGTGTTGCTTCCATCCAGGTCTCCCACGTGGGCAACAGGAACACAACTACTTTAGCCATCACCCGCCTCTCAGGGTCTGCTTTAACAAGAAGCTGGATTCAGTAGGCAGAGCCAGGTATCAAACCCAAGAACTGCTCGTGGCATCTTAACCACTAAGTCAAACATTCATTCCAGAAATCATCAGCCTTTGACTGACTTCAGATAAGTTAGTATTGTTCATTACTGGTAAGCTCTATAGAGTTCAGTGTGTAGTTCTCAGCATGAGTTAAAAGAGAAAGAAGAGCAAATATTTATTTGCTATTTATATCTCAGTGTCCACATCAGTGCATGTACACAAAAAGACAGGAAAATGTCTGAGAAGATTAAAGTGCACAGACTCTCCAAGCTCAGTTATGAGACTCATTGCCAATTTTCCTGATAATGAAAAGGAATATTTATAAGTAAAACAATTTAAATATGTACCTTGAAAATTATGTTTTTATTAAAAATTGTATTTGCATATTAAAATTATAAATGAATTTTATCATAATTAAATTATCTCATTTAAGCTTTGAAAGGAATTCCCTAGCCTTGGATTAACTTACTTTCTCCTCTGCCTGTCACATAGATTCTCTTGCTAGCCCAAAACAAACGATCAAACAAAACTGTAAACCACAGGATGGTACTCCTTGCAGATTTTTAAACTACACCAAATTAAAATCCAGAGACAACACAGAGCCTTGTTCTATGCTGACAAGAACATAGAAAGGAAAAAAAAAAACACTACCTTCAACATGTCATAAAAGAGAAAAAATAGTATCTTCACTATTTATCATAGGCTATCAGCCAGCCACTATTCTGTATACATTATTGGTGCTATTTAAGTTAATCATTACAGCAACTTTAAGGAGTAGGTTCAACAAATTTTACTAGTTAATACCTATGTAAATTAAGGAACAGAAAGTGTAAATAACTTGTTTTAAGTCACACATTTAGTAAGTGTGTAGAATAGGATTCAGGACCAGACATTCTGATGCTAGAAATTAAGTGTTTAACTGATACACTATGCCAATAACTACAATGACAGTTACTAGTACATCTATAACTTTCTTCAATTTAATATTTGACTAATTTTTGAGACATTTTTAATTTACATTATAGTGAAAGTTTTGATGGCTCTGCTAATAAAGAGCTCAAAAAATAAAAACTAAAATAGACCATAGTCCAGCAGTAAAATAGGCGAGGACTATAAAACAATAATCAACTGAAAAGATGTTCCACTTATATAAATTTTAAAAGTCATAAAATCATTTGTGTTTAATCCTACTGCAGTAGTGACAAAGAAATGTGTTGTAGACACACTCCCCAGATGGCCGCCACGGCAGGTGCTCGCTGCGCCGATTCGAAGCCAGGAGCCAGGTGCCTCTTCCTGGTCTCCCATGCAGGTGCAGGGCCCAAGCACCTGGGCCATCCTCCACTGCCCTCCTGTGCCACAGCAGAGAGCTGGACTGGAAGAGAAGCAACCAGGACTAGAACCATGTGTCCATATGGGATGCTGGCACCGCAGGCAGAGGATTAACCAAGTGAGCCACAGCACCGGCCCCATGCAGACTTTTAAAAATAGGTATCTTCTCCCTCTAGTTCATTTTGAGTGGTATTGTCATATTGATGACTTATGGCAGAAATGGATCATACCATCCCTCATTCAAATGGCACAGCCACCTCAATTTGTTGAAGGACTATTGAACAGAATGCAGCTTTATTTGCTTAGGACTCAAGATCCCCATAAACTGACTCAAGTCTTTCTCTGCTAATTACTTACTCAGAAATTATATCGGTAAGCCAAATTGGTTGCTACTCACCAAAGATGCTATATGTAAATATTGCCTGTTTTTATGGCCTTTCTATCGAAAATTCAGACAGAATGTTTTCAGCAGTAGATCCCTTTGCAATTTTTTAAATCTCACGTGTGATTCATGTTCATCCTGGAATAACCAGCAAATTTAGGCCAAAAGTACAAGAAAAGAAAAGCATTACTAGGTCTATCACACAGAGAATTTCTGGATGAATCTCATTGTATATTCTTACCTTATATCTACATAAGGTGCACCATATATGCAAAAAACAAAATTAATCAACAAATATAGTTTTATAAAACATATTTCCCACATAATACATGAAAATCTATATTGATAAATTATAGCTTCACATTATAATTTATAAACAATAATCACCAAATCCTTTTTGTGAACATATAAAAAGTTTATATTTTACATTTAAACACCATTGCTATGAATATCCTTGCATGCATTCTTTACATATTTGTTCAAATATTAAGAAAAATAACTTGATGTGGAATTGTTGATGGAACATGTTTAAGCATTTAAATCATATCTGAAATGTTATTAAAGCACTCTAAAATGATTGCACCAATTTAACACTCAATAGCAGACACTAAACTGACCAGGTGCTATTCACTAACACTGGATATTAACTCTAAATTTAGTATTTGCCTACTGAAAGAAGAAAATAATCTCTTGGAGTTACTTTAACTTTGGCACAGTTGTTTAGCCAAGTCATTATCATGAATGCCTCTAATTGTGAGGTACAAGACCTGAATCATATCCTTCAGCTGTTTTCATACTTATACCCAGACTTTAATTAATCCTCCTAGAAAAAAATACCTTATTTTTTTAATCAAGTAGCAAAAATAAGACCAAAACATGAATTAGAGTCCTGTCTTACGGCCAATCTGACTTCAATGAGACCAGCATGGAGCCTTTCTCAGTCTTCCTCTGTGTTCTTACACCTGTGTGCTTCTGAGACTTCTTGTTTTACATGAACCACATCATTGGAGCTTGCTCAGTTGGAGAGAGGGTTATGATTAAAAGAAAACTTGGCCCCTCCACCTTGTTGGCTGTGTACCTTTCCTGATGATGTCTCTGCACCTGCTTTAATGATCTTCTCTTAGCAGGTGGGAGAGGGCAAGACTAAGCCATGCCACTGTGGAATTCAAGGAGCAGGATCTGTCAATATAATTGGCATCCTATCCGTCAGATGATCTCCCAGGAACCTACAAGTAAGAGACACATAATTACCAGCACGATTTTCTCCTTGAAAGTAAAATAGAAGTTAATAAACATGATGTCCACAGGGTGCGTGCATGAAAGCAGCCCTCCTGGTACCCTTCTGAGCATTTCACTGCCACTCGCCACTCTACGCATGCTATAAAGAAGTGACCTCTCAAACAAGGATGGATGATTTATCAGTTTTCAACTTGTCATAAGGGAGGGTCATCCGTATTGCTGAGTGGCAACCTGAGGTCTGACTTTGGGAAAGTCAGACTTTGTTTCTTTGCCTCGTGCATCAAGGCAACTTTGGATTCAGTTTTGCACCTAAATTTTCTAAAACTCTAAAAAGGAAAAACAATAATGGCAATGCTCTGTGTTCAATAGAAGTGGTCAACAGCACACCTTAGCAAGGCCCATTATATTTTTTTGAAAAAAAATTTATTAAAGGATGAATAATAGAGATGCAAACAGCACTAAATTAAGGAGATATAAAGCCAGATCTCAGTTCCCCTTCCTAAATGTGTGATGTTGGAAAAGCTTTTTATCTTTATAATGCAATTTCCTCATTGAAAAGGAATGATAACAAATAGATACAGATCAAATAAGAAGCTAGATGAGGGGAAAACATGCAGCCTCTGATAGCCTGTATCCCCTTATTAGGGATTACCTTTGGCTTCAGATGGTTAATTCTGTTTTTGTCTTTAATATTATTTTCCCACAAGTTACATATTCACATGGCACAAAATGAGAAAAGAGACAAAAGGAAAAGTAAACACGGAAAATTATCTTTCCCAGTCCTGAACTTCAGACAAACAGTTTCCCTCTGGGTCAATAAATTTTATCACTTTATTTTATATTGTTCCAGAGGTATTTCATGCAACTATTTTGCTACTTCAAAAAGAAAAATTGTTCTGCATAAACTTAGATGTACAGTTTGCCGTTTATATCCATGTTTCCACATCTGGAATTCAACCATCCATAAATAGAAAATATTAGAATCAATTGTATCTGTATTGAATATGGACAGACTTTTTTTTCTTGTCGCTATTCCCTAAACAATATGGTATAGCAATTATTTACATTGTACTAGATAATGACAAATAATACAGAGATAATTTCAACTATTCTGGAAAATGTACATACTGCAAATATTATGCCATGTTATCTAAGGACCTTGACCATCTGCAGACTTGGGTTATCTTTGGGGAATCCTGGAACAAGAGGCTAGAGTATCTGCATATGTAAATGATTTCAGGGGACCCTGAACATACATGAAATACCCATATACCAGTGTGTTTACAAAGAGTATATGGAATTCCTCAACAGTCCTTGTAAAACTTTGATTTCAGACTTTTGCATTAAATCTGTGACCTATCTGTAACTTTCTGGTGTGAGCTGTGAGGCTGAGATCCACCTTTATTTTATTTTTCCCATCATGCATTCAACTATGCTGGTACGACTGACTGAAAGCTGGCTGATTCTAATAATTGCTTCCCATTTAAAACTAACAGATAGAGTTTGAATCTGGAAGTATATGAAAAAAGTTGAAAAACATGCAATGGTGTAATAAACAATTGACTAAGATTCCTGAACCATGCCAACAGAAAGGCCTGGATTTATCTCTAACTGAGTTTAACTAAGTTTGTCTCACCATATCCTGTATCACCCTCTTAGAACATACATGAAGAATCTTCAAACAGTTTATAGAGAGGCCATGATTTTGGTGCAGTGGGTTAAGCTCCCATTTGTGATGCCAGCATCCTATATTGGGGTGATAGTTTGAGTCCTGGTTGCTATGCTTCCAATTCAACATCCTGCCAGTGCACTTGGGAAAGTAGTGGATAATGGTCCACTGTACATGAGTCCCTGCCACCCATGTGTGAGACCTCAGTGGATTTCCTGGCTCCTTACTTCAGCCTGACCCAGTCCTAGCTTCTATCGACTTTTGAGGAGTGAATTAAAAGATGGAAGCTCTCTCTCTCTCCCTCTCTACCTTTTAAATATAACATTTTTATAAACATTTTTAAAAGCTTGTGGAAAATGGAATTAAAATATATTTATTTTGGTACAAAAATTTTTATATTGATGAATAGTTTTTCATAATAATCATTTTCTAGGAACATGTTGAAGACTTCATATACGTGGATTTCAAATATTTTAATATCAAAATAAACATCATCTAATCTTACTTTCATAAATTTTTAAAAGTATCCTTGTAATTTCAAAGTACAAGGTATTACTGAGATGGTGTTGGCATGCTGCTAACATATTGATCTTCCTCAAACACAAATATGGTTATTTTACTGTTAAAACAGTTTCATACTGTCAACAGTTCCACAACATTTGTAGGAGAAAGCCTAGTTTTTACTATGATATTCTCCTTCTCATACATATGTTCCAGCCACCTGTTAAGCAACTCCTCTAATATTTAATGCTTTTTAGTATAAATTTCAGCATACTAACAAAATGGGTGAAACTACAAAACATCATACTTAGTGAAATAGGCCAGTCCCAAAAGAACAAATACCATGTATCCTCCCTGACCTGTTATAACTAATAGAGCACCTAAAAGGTAATCTATAGAAGTGAAATTGACACTTTAAGATACATTGACTTTGAACAACCCTTGTCTTTACTGTTGAAGAACAGGTTTTTTTCTTCTCATACTATTTGTTGAATTCTTTACTTAGTATAGAGTTAATCATATGTGTTTAAAGTTAACTGAAAATAGATCTGAGTAAAAAATAAAAATGGGAATCGGAGAGGGAGGAGGAAGAGGGGTGGGAGCGTGGGTGAGAAGGCAGGTATGGTGGGGAGAATTACCTTGTTCCTAAAGTTGTACTTAAGAAATGCATGAAGCTTTTATTCCTTAAATAAAAGGTTTCTGGGGAAAAATTAGCATACTCATTCATACACCACGTATCTCCAAGAATACATGTCTCAGGAGGAAGAGATCAAAGCCTCACCTAGCTCACCTGAACATGTAGTAGATAGGTATTAAGAGATATCTTAATGAACAATAGCTAGCTCACTTGTAAACAACTATCTAACATCCATTACAACAGTTAATTTAGCAAATCTCTCCAAGCATGAGGCTCTAAACTGCAGAAAGGGGTTGGGTAGCTATGCCTGCCTTTTATCCATTTTATGAGGAAGAACACTGGCTAAGTATTTTATACGAGAATTTCCAAAATCATACACAGAGATTAAAAATGAAGGACCAGCTCCTTAGATTTAAATTTTAATATCTCAAACTTACTGAGAGAGTAATAATATTTCTGTCTCCAGTACTGTACAACACCAACAAAAAGAATACCGTTTCAGTTAAGATTGATATGCAAATATCCTCAATAGGCCTTATAAGTAGCCCATCGATTTTCTAAAAAACCATGGAAATGTAACAACTACAACTCAGATGTTTTGAATTTGAAATCTTCAACTTTCTGAATTCTTGCATCCAGCAATCTCAGAAGACTGGAACCTTTTACTGTCCACAGGTCACCCACGTGTCCTTCCTCCTTTAGATGAAAATGTGGGGAATGTGGAAACCATTCCTTACCTTTCCTTGACAAAGGAGCAGGTTTAACTGAACGACAGCACAGCACAGAAACCCCTTGCTCGAGGACAGATGGCCACATGGCCCCTGCCCGCATGGCTGAGAGCACGTTACTGCCAAGGAATGTAGGCTGCTGGTGGAATCATTAGCTGTTATCCCAGTGCGTCCTGCTCAAAGGACAGTCACCTTTATGGTCTGTGTCTGTCCTAGTCACAGCTGTCAGTTAGTGAAGAAATTCACAATCCATCAGCTTCTCTTGAAAGCTACCTTGCCCTGGTAAGGTAGAAAACGCTCTAGAGGTTGAACTAATATGCTGTGTTTATTTCCATCACCAGCTGGCATCAGACCCTGCTGACATACACAGGACAACCACAAGCCCACACAGGCTTGATTCTTGCCATAACAGAAACACTCAGCCAGGTCATGGGCTCTGTAGAGGGAAAACGGGAAGCAGAAGAGAAGAGGTCATGCCACTCTCATCATAATTACTCTTGACCCTTTACTTTTGGTGTGCAATTCTAAAACACAAAATGGAAATCTTCAGTGTTTAAACTTTATTTAACTATTCATTTTTATAAAGTTATATCATGCCCTAGTAGATCTTCAATAATTTCCCACCAGGGACGTATCTCCCTAAATAGTCTGAACTTTTGAACTCTTCTTTCGCTGTTTTCTATACTCAAGCACCACTGGTTTTCTTCTTTTGCTCAAATGTTGTAGGACCATCTACCATTCCCTCTGCTTTCAGCACCTGTTCCTTGCCCTTTCTGTAACTTGCCTGCACAATTCAGGACTCCGCTCAAATTTGACTTGAGCTTTCATTGATTACCCTACCTAACAGTCCTCTTCCTCATGCCACCTGTTACTCTTCCTCTCTTTTTCTACATTTCATGTCCTCAATTGCACTGGGGTCTTTCTGTCTCTCTGTCTCTCTCTCTCTCTCTCTCTCTTTCACAAGCACACACACACACACAAACACAAACACACACACACACACACACACACACAAGCTCCACAAAAGCAAGGATCTTGTCTCTCATTCTTTCGACCGTAACAGCAACAGACACACAGTGGGAACTCAGTAAACTCAGTAAATAGTACACCAATGCAATCAACTCACCAGGCACAGCCCCTTCAGTATTCTTCTTAGACAAACATTTATTTTCAATAAGTGGAAACAGGATAATGACGGATGAGAATGGAGGGAAGAAATATGAACAAGAGCCCAGAATCTAGTGGGGAAAGCCAGAGCAGCCTCTGCATTGCTGGGCAAGCAATTCCCTTCCTTTTGCACTCTCCTCCACAGCCCATTTTGGAAAGTGCCTAGCTCAAAGAAGTTTGTAAAAAACAAAAATCAATAATTAAGCCATAAATATGTTTTTTAAAGTATTCAAGAATGCTGGGAGATCATTGCTCCAAACAAACAAACTTGTAGTTTCGAATCTCCAAAGACATTTCTGCTCTGGTAGCAATCATCCTAAGTTCCCATTGGAGGGCATGTTAAGCCATAAGCACTATTTTTAGCTTCAAGGGTGAAAATCGAGTTCTGCTCTTCCTAAGAATGTTTTTGGCTTCCACAATTTCAAAAGTGGATTAGCATTCTCCAATTAAATGTAGCAGGTTACCAAGCCTCTGATGTGGTCCTCTGAATGTCAGAAAGAAAATAGAAATGGGTGTGTTATTAATGGCTCAAAATCAGTTCATTCTGTCTGCTGGAGAAATTCCTCTCCCCCTTCAAACACTCAAACCCACACTCTCA